TTTTTTTCTATAACATTTTTATTTTTTACTATTTATTTACATTTTACAAATATTTGTAAAAATATATTTTCAATCTTTTTAAAAAAACTTTTTCATTGATTTTCTATTTTGCTCAGTACCACCAAGTTACTGAGCAGAACAGCCAAGAATAGGGGCGAACGGCAGCAAGTGAGCTGCCGGAGCTTCGGCTCAGCCAATCCAGATGTTGGATCGGCTGAGCATGTTCGGCTGACCGAATTGCAGCTGAAGGCAGCTAAATTCAGCCGAAATCCACCCATGAGCCAGACTGAATAGCCGAACGTTGTTCGCCTCACTTCACTTCAGCTGGGTTATCTACTTGGCTGCCTTCAGCAGCTTTGTGTATAACCCCCTAAGTGAAAGAATAGTGTGTACCTAAATCACCTCACATTCACATATCACTCGCATTCCCCATACCCCCTATCCCCATGTTTTCTACTTCTACCAGCATTCTTCTTGTCAGCACATTAATTGGCTCCTTGTGATGGTCCTCCCTCGACCAGTCTAAGCTCTGCCAGACAGACCGCAATAGGCATATACAAGGTAAATTCAGGTACTTACACTATTTTGATTTTAAAAATATATTTTGTGATGTATAATTGAATACATGGATGCATTCATGTGTGCCCTTTATATCGTCTGGAATTTGAGGTTTAAGTCTAATTTCTACCTTTGTGGAGGTATTTTTAAAAATACATACTCCAGCAGGCATATGCAGTTGCTGTATATGAACACAGAAACTTTATTATTTTGTCCTCCTCATCTTGTTATGTTTCCATTTGAAATGACCATCTCTGTGCTCTGCAAGCAGTCCGTGTATATTAACACTCTCTTTCAGCTCTCTCTCTCCCTTTTCATTAGTATATTTATAGTAGCAACTCCCCTGGACAGTGTATTGTGACCTGGAAAGGCAGAGATGATGTGCAGTGACCTTTTTAGAATGACTCACAGCAAGGAGTCAGCTACTTTACAAGACAAACCAATCTCAGTGTCAGACTGAGTTTCCTTTGGAGAAAATGGTCAATTTATAGAACTCAATGCTACTAAAAAGTCCATAAAAAAATTAAAAGGCAGAAATGTGAATCATGAAAATATACACATATATACATCATAATTTCACCGCTACATTACCACACTAAATGCTAATCACTTACAAAGTAAGAAATGGGATTTAAAGTTAATAAAAAACAAACTTTGGAACTTGAACTTGTTTGATGTTACTTAAAATCCACCATTCAAACTAAGACGGTAACAGTGTAGAGGAGTTCCGCACAGTGGTCAGCTAACCCAGCTCCTCCAAAGGCTGAACCAAAGCCCAAAAAAGAAAAGGCTGCTGCAAAGGAGAAATCCAAAGCCAAAAAAAAAAGTTCCAGCAACAGGGAACTGATGGTCCTTTAAGAAGAAGGGCAAAAATAAGATACCTGGAAAAATACACAGCCATCAAAATAATAAAAAATGAAAATGATATGAAGAAGATGTATGAATGATTTGTGTCTGCAGAATACATACAATCATAAAAAGTATCTATGTTTTCATGTATTTAGCAAGAAATAAAAAGTTTATTTGGAAGTCAATGTCTTTTTTTATAAATAGTCATTAAATCACACATTTTCACATTCCTCCTTAAAGGCACAGAGACACGCGCGAAGCCCAGCTCATCACAATGGCAGCTGAAGCCCCCAGTGTGTCCGCACACTAAATTCAGCAAGCTAAACAAAAATGGCAACCAAACTATTGGTATGTTGGCTATGGCTATAGTGTCCTAGTCATAAGTGGAGTGTCCCAGGGTTCGGCTCTGGGACATGTTCTGTTAATATTATTGCATCACAATATAAAGGTACATAGCTCAATCTCAGTGTTTGTTGATGATATCAAGCTATATAGAATAAAAAATACTCAACAAGACAAAGAATCACTGCAGCAAGACCTAGATTAAAATGATAGCAGATGAACACAACAAGAAGTTGGACGAGATGTGGTTTAACCTCAGACTGCATAATGTTTTTTTGCTGTCAGAGCAGGGAAAATGTGAAATTCCCTTATTTGTGTCAGCTGAAAACATTGAAAACTTCAAAAAATACTTAGATGTGTTTCTCAGTTTACAGAATTTAGAGATATGGGGTTAGTTAGTGATAGTTAGTGACATGCTCACACACACACATACACACACAAACACACATACAGGTTCAACTGAATGGACCTGTGTCTATATTCAACCTTACCAACTATGTAACTATGTCAAAAAATCAACGTATAACTAGCCTTTTAAAGTGGCACTAAACTCAAGAGTTGTGAAGTAGCCACCGCTCCAAGCTCACTCCCGTGATGGACTACAATCTTAATACAAATTAGTATTTTGTAATGAGAATGTAGTCCATCACAGAAAGGAGCTTGGAGCGGTGAATACTTTCCAACACACGCAGGAACCATGGGTAACAAAAGTAGTCACCCTCCAGAAGGAAAGTCGGGAACCAATTCAGACATAGTTTGAGGATCTTCAGCCGAGTGATACACAAATGAGCTTCATATTTGTAAATAATTAAGGTACTTGAATATATTTTTAAGATTTAAAGTGACATTAAACTCTCCAATGTTTTCCCCATTGAAGTGCTGCTTTAAGTACTTACCTTAGGTGATGCCTCTTGATCCGATCATCTTCTTCCATCCACTTGTTTCCAGCAGTCCTTCCAGCGCTGGCTCCGGTCTCTGACCCAGCGCAGACTGCTGTTTCTTCCTGTCCCACGGAGTCTGTCCAGCATGCACGCTCCCGGCTGCGAGCATTCACTTCTACAGAGTTTCTCCTCTACTCCTCACCGGTGATATGGACTGCGCATGTGCCCGCCCACATCATCCTCCTGCACGGTCGTTCGGGACCTGTGTACTGCAGTTGAGAGTGAGCAGCAGAGACAGAGGTAAGTATTTACCTGTTTTGGTAACTTTTTTATTTTTCTTTAATGTTTCGGCATATATCTATTGCTTGCTAGCAGTAGATATATGTAAAAAAAAATGGAGAATTTAATTCTACTTTAACTCCTGCGTTTAGTGTCACTTTAAAGTAAGGATCAGAAGAAGTTTAATACCAGCACACCAATAGTTAAATGTCCAAATGTGGTCTATTTTAGACTCACTATTGTCCATAGCAACATTTCTGGGCCTCACAGGGTCTCTTCATCAGGTCTTGTTATGCCTTATGAAGGGACCCTGCTAGGCCACACAAAACATTACTATGGACAGGATGAGTGTACAATTGTCTAAAATCGACCACATTTGGACATTAAACCATTGGTGTGCTGGTGATAAACTTCTTCTGCTTTAAATACGGCAGCGTCATCCGTTCCCTAGCAGAAATCCTACTTAACACCAAACAAAATGTTAAAATGAGTATTGTAGCAAAAGTTATTTTTATTGGTATTACTTTTTTACTTGTTCTACTTTAATTATTTGACCACAGCTTGCATGTCTGTTAAAAGTTTGGATACTGTAGGGAATAGTTAAAGTCCCTGTCAGTTTTGTTCTTGTCATCTGTGTGCCATAGTAGAAGTTTTCCTTCACTTTCTGCCTTTCAGACACACAAGGGAGTAAGAGGAGTAAGATGAATCCCTTTTAGACAGTTGTCCCTGTGTTAAGAGTAAGATAGATGCTCCTATGCCCCCTTTCCCCATAGCTGCCAATCAACGGCACTCTCCTCCTTGGGCTAAGCGTCGTTTGTTGAGCTGCTAGCAAGGTCCTTTCTGCTCTCTTTGGCTATCAGCAGAAGGTGTCCGCATTGTTAAGCAGTGGCTTGGCGTCACCTGTTCCCCTTCCTCTGCTTGGATTGGCCAGCAGGGATGTGGAGCACTATGTAAACATCACAAGGCCAAGGTCTGGCTGATAATAGTGTTAGATTCCTGGCCAAGTACTTTGTCCCTTACTGGTTTTGTTTTCTCAACCCTTGCCTGGATAACAGACTCTGCCACTGGCTGCTGGCTACCTTGCCATAAGCTATTTTGCTGTCCAGCCAGTCACCAGTCCTGGTTGTTCATTCATACTGTGCCTACATTGAATCATTTCACATCATGGAGCTATCTGACAAAATACTTGACCTCTCACTCTCTTCGGTTGCTGGGGAGTACTCCAGTTCTGCAAATGTAGCACTGTGCATTAGGTCCTGGGGGCATTCAAGTACCGGTAGGTATACAAGCCATAATGGAAAGGTGACTGTTATAGTTGGAACCGTGTGCATGCCTTGCTATTATTGCAGAGCAGGACATAAACCAATAAACCTTACACACTGCAACAAATGCCTCCGTTGGTAAATTTCCTCTCTATTCCTGGTAACAGCTCAAAATGTTGGATTTCCCTTCCCTTTTAGTCCTAGTGACAATAGTCACAGAACACACAGAGATTGTAAATTTGGGGAATAATTCCTCGGAATTGAAGGTCACCAAATGTTCCCCAAACTCGGGAATGGGTCAGTGAATTAAATAACATTAATGCGTATGGAGAAGCCTGCTTTCATAATAGGTATGTGCAGTTTGAGGAGAAGTGGAGACCTTGGATAGAGTTCTCAAGTTCATCTGAGGTCCAAGAGTATATATAGCTGACATAGGTCTAGATTTTGGCAGTAGAAAACCCAGGTCCTGTATGTGTAAAAGAGTTGCATCCTTTCCGCTCTCTCACTCTTTCCCTTTTTTTTGTTGTTGTTGTTGTGTTTGTGGGTAGGATAAGGGGGCAGAAGGTAAAGAATGAGGAAATTGTTTTTAAGGGAAGGAGGGAAGTAAAGATATGTATATAGGTTAATTGTGTATTAGATGTGACAATGTATTCGGATGTTCAAAATATTTATTCGGATGTTAAGAAAATAAATAAAAATATATTATGAAAAAAAAGAAATTGTAAATTTCCCCCATGTACACAAAAGCATCAATACACATTTCATACAGATTTGAACCCCCTCACCACTCTATTTAAAACTATACCAAAAAAAGGGCTTTAGATACACTTTAAGTCATTTGTACGTTTTGATGCCTACTGACATCCAAGTTCAAAAACATTCTGACACTTTTTCCTACAACGTTTTTTAGGTCTTTGTTCCTCAGGCTGTATATCATTGGATTCAGCAGTGGAGTAACCACAGTATACAGCAATGACACTAGTTTAGTGACATTCCATGACTGTACTCTTTTAGGTACCAAATAAATACAAACAATGGTACCGTAAAATATGAACACAACAGTCAGGTGGGAGCTGCATGTTGAGAATACTTTTTGCCTCCCAGTAATAGACGGGATTTGGAAAATGGTGATTATAATATAAACATATGATACAATGATGACAATGAATGGAATTACAGCAAACACTGCACTCAGCGCTGTAGTTTCTAGTTGAACGATGGTGGTATCAGAGCAGGAGAGGTGGAGGATCGGGTCAAGATCGCAGAAAAAGTGATCAATTACATTGCCACAAAAGTGTAACCTTGATACAGAAAAAGTGTGAAGAGATTGTGTTACAAAGCTTAAAGTCCAGCATGTGGCGATCATCGTCCAGCAAAGCCGGTGGTTCATTAACAACGGATAATGCAGTGGTTTACAGATGGCCAAATACCTGTCGTAAGACATCACTGTGAGAAAAAGACTCTCCACTGTTTCTGTAGCAGCAAAAAAGTAAAACTGGGTAAAACAATCAGTAAATGAGACTATAATAGTGTTTCCCGCCAAAACAGTATGGAGCGTGTTAGGAAGAACATCAGTTGATAATAACATATCTGACATAGCTAGCTGAGCAAGGAAAAAGTACATGGGAGAATGGAGGGTTTTGCTGTAGGATACCAGCGTGATGATCAGGAGGTTTCCGCATATTGTGACACAATAAATCATAAGAAAGAGAAAAAAGATCAAAAATTTTATATTTTCTGGAATCTGAAACCCTACCAGGTGGAATACAGTGACCACTGTCATGTTATTCTGATAACTCATATTCTGAGGACAAGGAAACACTGTAATTCTTTTTAAACAGGGTTCCTCCCGACCGTGAACACAATTTGGACTAAATCTGAAAGGTGGAAGAGCATGAAAGAAGGAAAGAAGGGTATGAAGATAACATTGATTGTCAGTAATAACTAAGCAACGATCGATTGGAAATAAATCAGAGATTAATAGCACCTAATAACACTTTACAAAATAAGTAAATAATGTTAAAGACTCTCTTTGACTCTCTTTGAATTGTTGTTCAAAGTGCATGAAAAAAGGAAAAACCTAAATGCATGACATGTCCTTCATTGTTCTAAAGCCTTACATTGCAAATATTTTTTCTATAGCTTTTACAAAAGGCTAAAATCCCAGTATTTTCATTATCCAAACATTATCACTAGGTTTCATTTATACAATATACACTCCAAGATAAAAAATAAAATAAAATTGAGTTTTTAAAATGATAGTCACATGGATACAATAAAGATCACAATCCTAGTGTTCAAGCTTTGTGAATTGAACCTATTTTCCATGTAAACCTTTCATATTCTACTTACATAAAGTAGTAAAATATAATAAATACAATTTCAGCAGGTCAATCCATATTTTTCCATGAAATGTTGATATTTATGGAGATTGGTGTACCGTAAGCATTGTGTCTTATATAGGTAAGTAGAATCAAGGGCATGGAACCAATGGGAATATGAAGTCCTTACTGATATTTTCATGGGATCCATTATTATTGACCTGTAGGGAAATTCAGTTTAAATTCTATTTTTGAATGTACTGTTTCTTCATTATTTGAAAAAGAATAATATTGGTTGGTAGGTAATCCGGCATAACACTCCTCAATAACACTAAAGAAGAGTATTGTATAGAAATACTGTTTTTTAGGCCAAAATCAAATCAACTTATTTCACTGTATAAAAACATTCCATTTATTTTGTCACAACCTATAAATACAGACATGTTGATAAAATTTTGGTTTCACAGCCATCCTGTTAAAATACAGTATAAATACCTACATTTACCTCATACAACCTAATAATCAACCAAGAACATATATAGATTGATTGCCACATTTGTCCATAAATTATTCATGGTCATTATTTAATGAGCTGTGCTTAAGTTCTTGATGCATTTAGCTGCTAGCTTCCTCAGGATTTTGGAGGTATTATAGTAGGATGGAGATGGATTGCCTTACCACAATGGTGGTAGAGTTCCTCTTGCTGGTGGGGACCATAGGGGAACATACATGGAGACCCAAAATGCACGCTAGACCCAAATTCATATGGGAAACATTCATTCTTGAAATGTCTTATGTATCCATAGTGCTAATATTTTGGATCCAGCCACCAGTCACTTTTAAAGCTTTTGAGATATAAATTAAAGGAGTCCCTGGATCTACAAAATAGAAGGGTTAATTGCAAGCCTAAAACCAAACTTCAGGTCCTTCCCCTCTTATACTCCTATTACAGTTCTTCCACCAGCAAGCGCATTACTGTGTGTGTGAGTACTGTAGGCTTTTTTTTGCTTGCCAATCACTCCTCTGTTAGTAATATTATATTTATACTTCAAGAGGAGGGGATGCATGACACCAAATTGATGAACCAGGAAGATGAGTTGCTTATTTAGAAACTACTAGTGTCAGGGTGTGGTCACAGCATGGAAAAGTTAGAATGCTTTTTACCCAAGCTTCCAAGTCACACAACCTTTTTAGCCTTACTAAGCAGCCTACCCTACATTAGTTACACTTTTGTGCTGAGAGGCTACGTCCAACGTAGCCACTCAACTCCATGGACCATTTTCTTAAGTCTTCACAGTCACCTTCCCTGGCCCCTGGATGCAAGTGCAAGAGGAAACTGCAAAAGGCTGACATGTGAAATCAGCAGCAGGTATGAAAACTGTGTCTTACTAATTAAACTCCATGGTGGGACACAACACCATGCCCTCTTTTCCCCTGCTTTGTGACCTCTCCCCCTGTCATCACTGCTGCCTGTCTCTATGCCAATTAAGATTCTGGGACAGTGAAATAGACCCATAGGCTGCACTCAGTGAAGAAAGGCATCTGTACACACTTATAGAGCATTGGGCTCCATATAGTCTCCTTCACCAGAGGCTTAGGCCTTGGAACGTCACCCACCCTCTGAACAGGACCATGCTCTACAGTCACCACAGTAGAGAAAGCTTTTTTGGCCTTAAGAGTACCATTTAGAGTAGACTTTGAATTGTTGGCCAACAGGGTTAAAACTGCCTTGCAAAGGGAAATTGTTCAACTTGCCACTCTGGACTCCAGGATCACAGACAGCAGAGACCCTGCAACACACAGTTTCTGAACAGAGAGAGAGCACAGATAGATACACCTGACCCAACTGCATGTGCTCATAGATGACTTGGAAAACATGAGATTAAAGTGTATACCTGTGGTCAAGGCCTCTGTTGACCTTGCTTTACTGTCATATCCATGTTTAACACTCTCCTGGATAGGCCTTTATCACGCTGACATCTCCATAGACAGAGTACACATGGCTCTTGGCCTGAAAAAAGCAGATTTGGACCAGCCTAAAAAAAGCAGAAAAAAGCCTGAAAAAAGCAGATTTGGACCAGAGACATTTTGAGCTTTTTCCATTTTTACACAATGAAGGAGGATATCCCACGTAAGGCCCAGCATAAGGGTCTGTTTGAATTTGTTGGGGCTATGGTACATTGTTTTCCTGAAGCATCGAGAAAGACTTTAAAACCACTTCTTGAACAGAGCCTATAAGTGGGGTCACCACATCCAACTCATTGTTCTAAAGTAAAACAATACTTTTCTTCTTCGGCAACAAGCTGTCCTGCCAGACTTGTCTGCTTTCAATTACCTTACTCCGATGCGCTCACTTCAACTTCTCTTCACGGGGCTACCAGTTTTACCCCATTTCAGTTTCTTCCTACTTTGAGACCCTATACTTACCTCCTAAGAAGACCTAGTTCTTTCATATGTAGCCCAACAGGAGGGTAATGTATGACGGTGCTGTATAGACTACTGGTCAATCAAAGTGTACTGACACATCCTGTCTGTGTTCCTATGTCAGATATCTTTCTTTTTTCTAAATCACTATATTATATTGGCTTGTTTTTTATAGATCTTTGCACTATGTTGTAGCATTTTTTTCTTTGTCCTCGGCTTTGAGTAATTATGAGCTGTCTCTTTGAGTTGTCTTTATTATGCACTGTGGGGAAAATGCTTGTGTTGGTTTCCTCCCAGGTTCTCATTGTGCCTCCTTTGTTCCTGCTCCCACACAAGACTATTGGGGTGGCACAGCCTTGAGTTTTTCATGTCCATGCTTGGTACTAATCAATTGATTGTCATCTGTGTTAATAGATGCAGGCTGAACTTGCTTTCAGTTGCCAGTCAGACCAGTTAGTTTATGTTTTGTTTTTTTGGTTAGAGAGTCACAGGTGTAGCCTGGGAGATGGACTGTGCATAGCAGCTGCCCTATTTGGTCATGATTATCCCTTATGAAAAAAAGAAAAACACTGGGCGCCTGACTTAGTGCAATAATCCTTTTTATTGGTAAAATAGTATTGTTAAAACACAACATACTCACAATAGGAGCAAACAAGCTGTCAAATTGGACTGAAAGTCCTCACTGGATTACCTGCTTTGTGGATGGATGAAAAGTCCAGAGACTCTGCTGAAAGCAGAGTAACGCTATCTCTAGCTGAACGCGTTTTTGGGGAACTTCGCCGTCTTCAGAGCTGAGTAGATGACTCATGATTGCTAATTTATACTCTGTATTCAATCAGTGAGCCTCAAAAGGATCGTAACAGGGCCAAACAGTAGAAAGCATTTAGTTGCTAAGAGACTCCTTAGTCCAGCCAATCAGGACTAAGGGGGTGTTACCTTCATCAGGAGAACAGAGAAACTACCATGTACATGAAAATACATGAAAATACATACATGCTCCGGCGGTGACTGTTCAAAAATTAAACGCAAACCATACCATTAGATGGACAATCATACTAACTATGGTTTGCCTCGAGGAGCGGAAAATCTTTCTATAGACTCGCATGACAGTAAAAACCAAAAAGATGTCGTAATCTTTCCATGCTTATTTATTACAGCTATTTACATAGCACCAACAATTTACACAGTGCTTTACATAGTTGCAGTCAGTTCCTACCCTCAAGGAGCTTACAATCTAACGTCCCTATTACACATACATACAGGGCAAACTTAGAGAGGAGCCAATTAACCTACCAGCATGTCTTTGGAGTGTGGGAGGAAACCGGAGTACTCAGAGGAAACCCACGCAAGCACAGGGAGAACATGCAAACTCCTTGCAGATAGTGATCTGGCCCGGATTCAAACTGTGCTGCAAGGCAGAAGCGCTAACACAGACACTTCCCAGCACACTTCCCAGCCAGCATGCAGCAAAACAAGTTACACAGTCTAACAATATGCATTAATAACAGAGGTTTTAGTTGCACAACTTCAGCTTCACACTGACCATAATTATTTTTAAAAAATCTTATAAAATGATCTGCAAATTTTTATGAGATTTGAAATGTAAATGTAATCAGTTGTTAATAATTTTTCCTACAACTTGTTTGAGGTCTTTATTCTTCAGGCTGTATATGATTGGATTCAGCAGTGGGGTTACTACAGTGTACAGTAATGACAGGAATTTAGTAATGTTCCATGACTGTCCTCTACTAGGTATCAAGTACACACAAACAATGGTGCCATAAAATATGGAGACAACAGTCAGATGGGAGCTGCATGTTGAGAAAACTTTCTGCCTCCCACTAATAGATGGTATTTCAAAAATAGTGACTATAATATAAATATATGAAACAACAATGATAAAAAATGGAATTACAGCAAACATTGCACTCAAAAATGTTGATTCTAGTTGAACGATGGTGGTATCAGAGCAAGAGAGTTGTAGGATGGGATCAAGATCACAGAAAAAGTGATCGATAATATTGGGACCACAAAATTG